AGTCTTTTCCTTCTCCCGTTAGGGCTTAAGACGCTAAGAAGTGGCAGTGCTGGGGCGATGGACTGAGGACTCTTCCCTGTCCCTAACAAAGACCCATTTCCTTCAAGGCTATGCTATAGTGGCTGGGAGATTTATAACAAATTTTGAGCACTTACTCTGTCCTGGGCACTTCTAGTTCTGTGACCTTATGAAAGTCATCCAACTAGATCTAAAGACAGACACTACTTCTATGGACCACAGGACCACAGAAAGCTACCTATCTTTGAAGACCCTGCCAGGAAGTTAAAGAAAACGTCTCCTAGGCTTTTTTCTTTTTTAACTTCTACCTCCAAACTGCTGATTCTTGCTCCACCATACTCATAAGATTGAAAGGATGGGACAGAAGGGCTCTGTGTCTGGTTCGTCTTTCTACAACCCCAGAGGCTGAGTAGCCTTGGAGGCAGGTTCATGGTTTGAGGAGGATGCTCCTCTGCCCTCAGATCACAGCCAGAAAAAGATTGGGCCACAGTCAATTTAAACGTTTAATTTCATTTTCTTGTGTATATTTCTTCTGCTCCAGACTTCTTTCTTCCTCTCTACTTTAAAGAGTGTTAAGAGCTACGGTTAGGTGGATTTCTGCAAATAGGGGTTTTGTTTGGGTTGTGGGACTATGGGTGGATTGGATTTTTCTTCTTCATTTTCCTTCATGAGACTTAGAATTTTTTTTTTTTTTTTAAGATTTTATTTATTTGCGAGAGAGAGAATGAGAGACAGAGAGCATGAGAGGGGGGAGGGTCAGAGGGAGAAGCAGACTCCCTGCTGAGCAGGGAGCCCGACGTGGGACTCCATCCTGGGACTCTGGGATCATGACCTGAGCTGAAGGCAGTCGCTTAACCAACTGAGCCACCCAGGCGCCCCGAGACTTAGAATTTTTCATGATCAAAGTATTAAAAAATCTGTATACACACTTAATAAATTACTCTTTGTTTCTGTCATACTGAGCATTTGTTATATGGAAAAAATTCAAGGATGCCACCACCAAACACACACATAGGGTGCCTGGGTGGCTCAGTTGGTTAAGCGACTGCCTTCGGCTCAGGTCATGATCCTGGAGTCCCGGGATCGAGTCCTGCATCAGGCTCCCTGCTCGGCAGGGAGTCTGCTTCTCCCTCTGACCCTCCCCCTTCTCATGTGCTCTCTCTCATTCTCTCTCTCTCAAATAAATAAATAAAATCTTAAAAAAAAAAAAAAACCAACAAAAAAACCACACACATAAAAAATGAGATGCAGTGTATTCCATAGTGAAGGGTCATTTTCTGGAGTCATACTGCTTGAGGCTAAAAATCAGTTTGCCACTTGCTAGCTGTCTAACCCTAGGCAAAGCCTGAATTGTTTGTGCCTCCGTTTCCATGTATATACCTATCATAGGGTCGTTGTGAAAATAAAAATAATCCATGTGAAGGGCTTAAGGGGAATACTTAGCTTATAGCAGTACTCAGATGTTAGCTACTGGCAGCAACAGTTGAAAATGGAAAGGAGGTTAAAATCCCTGTACTTGCAAATAAGATAGCTGATATTCAAAATTAAATGATAGTCACTGCATTTGGGTGACATATCTTAAAAAGTGGAACTTGTTGATTAAATATCTTAGGATATAGTGCACTGCATTCTACTCAAACTGCACTTACTGGGGCCCCAAACTTAATATGGAAACATGCATGCCTCCATTCCATACATGAACATGGTCTCAAAAGCTAACACAAACCAGAAGTTCCAAACCCCAAAAGGGTCAGTTCTGTTTCTCTAAATGTTTGGACTGATTTTCCTTCTTTAAAGATTTTTAAAAAATTTTAAAGTCATCTCTACACCCAACATGGGGCTCAAACCCACAACCCTGAGCTCAAGAGTTGCACGCTGACTGAGCCAGCCAAGCGCCCCTGGGCTTACTTACTAAAATAGGTTTTTCAGGTCAAATGTTTCCCAGAAACCTAAATGACAGAATGGAGATGGGAAATTCGAAGACTTGCAGTTATGTCTTGACTTTATTACAAATTCAACCAGCTGCCTTTAAGTCAAATTTTGAGACATCGTTCCCTCAAACATAAACGTGAAGAACTGTTTGCCTTATTTCAAAGATAGCGTAAGAAGCATACACAACTCACAAATCTGAGGGAAGTTTACATCAAATTAGATATTAGCAGTCAGTGCTACTGGGCTGCCCTCTTCACATCATGATCAATCATAAAATGCTTACCTTATCTCCTTGCTCTTCCTACTGCTTCTCTCCTCTTTATTCTCATTACTGTGTAGTTAATTCCTAATCACACAGACTTTGAGTATGAATCAAATTTGAGTATGAAGAAAAGGTATCATAACACTACCATCATGGGGCGCTTGGGTGGCTCAGTCAGTTGAGTGTCCGACTCTTGATTTCAGCTCAGGTTATGATCTCAGGGTCGTGAGATTGAGTCCCGTGTGGGGCTCCTCACTCAGCAAGGAGTCTGCTTAAGATTTTCTCTCTCCACCCCTCCCCCACCCTGCACGCTTTCTCTCAAATAATAAATCTTTAAACAAAGCAAAACACTACCATCACACAACGAAGTACTTCGAAGTGTAGGTGATAGTCAATTTGACTAGGCAATGGAGTGCCCAAATACCTGGTCAAACATCATTTTGGGTGTTTCCGTGAGGGTGTTTTTGGATGAGATTAACTCATCTCAGTAGACTGAGTAAAGCAGATTACCCTCCGTAAATGTGGACGGGCCTCATCCAATCAGTTGAGGGCCTAAAGAGTTGACCCTCTCCTGAGTGAGAGAGAATTATCCCAGGTGATGGCCTTCAAGCTGGACTATCAGCTCCTCCAGCCTACCAGCCCTGAGACTCGAACTGGAACATCAAGTCTGCATGTTGGACTTGCCAGTCTCCATAACCGCACAAAACAATTCCTTATAATAAATCCCTTTACATATGTACATATCTCCTTAGTTGTGTTTTCCTGGTGAATCCTAATACAGAGCAATACTGTTATATACTGAAACTCTGCAGATTAAATTCAAGAGGATTCAAATTATGCTTGAAAGCCAGAGAGAAGGCAGTTTTTCTACCAATGAAGGCCATATGTAGATATATTCTCGAGTCTCAGGTATTTATGCCTGAAGCAAAAATACACATAGTACTTTTCAACACACATCACTTTCTAGGGGCTTTCTACCTATTCCAACTTGCACCCTTGGGGATTACTTGGCTTTCATAAATGAGTCACTTACATAGCTGAAGCTTCTTGGAGAGGTTAAAGGGCACTGAGGTTTGTTTCCTTGGGCAACTGTCAATGGATCTGATAGAATACCATGGAGATATTTATACCTTCTAACCATAGCCTTAGATCATGTCAAAAGCAGACTACTGCTTACAAATGGACAGAGACAGGAAAAGCCTCATGTTAGATGGGACAGTGTCCTGAGGACAGAAGACTGACCACTTAAGGAAGAGTTAAATCTGGAGATGATAGGACAGAGAAATTTTTTTTTTTAGATTTTAGTTATTTATTTGAGAGAGAGCGCGAGAGAGCACTAGCAGAGGGAAAGCATGAAGGTGGGGAGAGGCAGACTCCCTGCATAGAAGGGAGCCCAATGTGGGGTTTGATCCCAGGACCCTGGAATCATGACCTGAGCTGAAGGCAGACGCTTCATGGACTGAGCCACCAAGGCACCCCTGGAGACGATAGGACATAATGAGGAACCCAAACATACCTTAGAATAGCTAAGGCAAATGAATTCAGGAAATCATCTTGGGAGTAATTCTGGCTCATTAGTAGTAACAAAAGTGCAAATCATCACTTACTGCGGAGGGGCCTTCCTTGACCTGTGGTCTCTTTTTCTCCACTTGTTTGGTCACTCAGCTATTCTGTTCAAAGTCCAAAGCCAGGGTAGGGGCGCCTGGGTGACTCAGTCGGTTGAGCGTCTGACTCTTGATTTCAGCTCAGGTCATGATCTCGGGGTCCTGGGATCAAGCCCCGCATCAGTCTCCGCACCTGGCGGGGAGTCTGCTTGAGGGTTCTCCCCACCCCCTCTCATGCTCTCTCTCTCAAATAAATCTTAAAAAAAATTTTTTTTAAAAGTCCAAAGCCAGGGCAGTCACAATCCCACAGCTCTGTTCTCAGGCCTTCCTTGGGTCTCTTAAAAACACTCTGCAGGAAATGCTTATGTTTTCTTTTTGTCCAAAGACCAGCTGAGTGGCTGGAGGGGCATCTTGTCTCAAATATGGAACCTTCTCTAGGGAAGGGCTACAACAATATTCATGTTCCAAACAATTGTACCAAGACGTAGCATCCAAATGACAGGATATAATTATTTTTTGTATAATTGTATTTCTAATCATGTAAATATTTCCCTCTTTTTTTAAATCTTCAATTGTTTTCCCTTTTCTTTATGGATAGGGACATAAAGAGCAATTAGTTATATTTTCAATTTCTTCTTTAATTAGTTTCAACCCTATAATGCTCACCACTTACGAGAGAAAATCCAGAAGGGCCTGCCTCCAGCAATGCTTGAAAAGGCAGGTAAATCCTGAGTCAACACACAGGAAAAGAAAACATACTCAATTTTTCACAAAGGTCACATTTCCAAGCAGTATTTGGAATGTTGTATCAAGTACTGAATTAGTATTAGGCAGTTGATACTAGTAAATTAATAGATAGAATAACATTTGCCTTCATTTTTAAAGAAGGTATTTAAAAAACGGGCGCCTGGGTGGCTCAGTCAGTTAAGCGTCTGCCTTTGGCTCAGGTCATGATCCCAGGGTCCTGGGATGGAGCTGTACATTGGCCTCCCTGCTCAGCGGGGAGCCTGCTTCTCCCTCTCCCTCTGCCTGCCGCTCCCCCTGCTTGAGCTGTCAAATAAAGAAATAAAATCTTAAAAAAAATTAGATAAATAATAAAGTCTCCATTTCCCTAATACTCTTAAATTATCAGTATAAAATAGCATTTTAATAAACTCACATTAAAAGCCAATAACTCCCATGAATACAAGACTTATTTTGCCTTTATTTGTGACTTTGCAAAGGTTTAAGCCAGTAAATAAAAATCAGTTTTCTTTTCACATAAAGGGAATTTGCTATTCCACTTATCTTCAGAATCATTGTAGTAAAAACCTATTTGAAAAGGGTAATACAAAAGAGAACTTCAAGGTCTTAAAACACTGTGCAAAAGTTAGTCACTGGCATTAAAAACAGACAAACCAACCACCACTGAAGGCCTGGCTCCTGTTCTCTGTCTGATATTTGGCCTCTGATCATTTGCTTAGGAGAGCAGTTTCCAAAGTCTGGGGTATAGCAGAATCACCTGGAGAGCAAATAGAGCATAGGGAAACCCAGGATCATTTACTCAGGGAATGCCTGGGTCTCTGCATCTTTACCAAATTCTCCAGCAATGTTTTCCAAACCAGGCTGGTCAAATGACCTGGGTGGCTTTGAAAAACAACAACTATACATTCCCACACCATACCCCTGGAAATTTTGATTCAGGAGGCTTGAGTTTGGGACCCAGAAATCTTAAAACGTACACATTTTATTTTAAAAAATTTTAATAGGGGCGCCTGGGTGGCTCAGTCATTAAGTGTCTGCCTTCGGCTCAGGTCATGGTCCCAGAGTCCTGGGATTGAGCCCCACATCGGGCTCCCTGCTCCGCAGGAAGCCTGCTTCTCCCTCTCCCGCTCCCCCTGCTTATGTTCCTTCTCTCGCTTTGTCTCTCTCTGTCAAATAAATAAATAAAATCTTAAAAAAAATTTTTTTAATAAACTTCCCAGGTGGTTCTGATAAGTTGATTCGGGAACCACTTACTTAGGACACACATTTAAAATAAGTGTCTTTCAAAGAACTCTAGGTCTCTGAGTTCACGAAGAATATTCATAACTTTGGGTAGGTTATAAATCACCATCCTGTGAGAATTCAACAAATGAAGCTGTCGAGAAGTGATGTGATACTAAAAACCCTACCCGATTTAGCACTTAAATTACTTAATGATTTTCTATCTACTCTCCCCACTCAGGCAAAGGTCTGTACATAAAATTTGTTTCCTATGGCTGGTAAGTGCTAGGCACCCAAAGTGCTCAGAAGCAAGCGGCCCCACAGGATTTTGTTCTGTTAACCTCTCCCTCTTCCATTCAGACTCCCAGGGCGGTAAGGAACAGACCTATTTCAGGGCACCACAGCCAAGTGATGTCACCCCGCAGCATTAGGCATCAAGACATCAACCCAGAAACCTTGTGAACCCCGCTCCCACCCCACCGGTAGGGAGATACTAGAAAACCCTAATGGGACAATTGTTTCTTTGGGGAAAGAAACGCTCTCATCACACACAACAGGTAGTTTAAAAGCTTGACTATTCCTGAAGCCAAGACAAGAGAAAGCCAGTTATGACTTTAGAAGCTTCAAAAATAGTGACTTTTGGGTTACCTCCTGTGACCCAGAACCCATGGATATCCAGCCCCACTCCTTGCCCATCTCAGAATCAGAGGTTTAAATTCAAAGTCCAAGACACAAAGAATCTGAAAGCAATAACCTATGATGAATTTGGGAAATGCCCTTTGCTCTCATTTTCCTCGAAATCTGAAGTCAGATCAGACTGAGATATCCACATCCGTCAGATGGAAAAAGAAACGCGAAAACAGGTGGCAATTAGGATCCTTACAATACAGGTGCTGATTTCCAATGCTCCCCACAAAATCCTGGGTCACAAAATGAGGGATAAGGTGATTTTTCTTATACAGAAGGTACTGAGCCATGGGAGCCGGCAGCAAGTAGGAACCTGTGAGATGCAGAAAGGCACACGAGTCCCAGGTCTCTCCTTAGTGGCGATGGTCCTCCTTCCCGGATAACTGGCAAGAGACAGTCCAAACGTACTTAATAAGATTAATAAGATTGCTGGGTGGGCATCCGAAGGGAAGAGATGAAAAGACCTCCTAAACATAGGAGGGAAAACAAGCCAGACACTATTAGCAGCAGGCCCAGCTGGAGGAGGGCTTGGTCTGTAGATTGATATAGTCCCCTTGGGTGGATAAAGACATATCTTCTCTGGAATTGCTCATCATCTTTTCAATGAGGACTCTAAAAAACAAACAAACAAAAGACTGATAAACTGGAGGGAAGAAAGGGAGACATGGTAGACACTGTCTGTCTTATCACCAGATGGCATTCAGTCAAGCCATGAAATTTAAATGCCCCTTCGTCCCCCCATTATCTCAGGAGAAAGGGTGGCATCCCTGACCTTCAGAAGCTGGCATTCCAGTGGCTCAGCCTGCTCTTGTTTGCTCAGAAACAGGAAAAGAAGGTCCCAGGGGCGTGGCGGCAGCAGGTGGGTGAATCTGTGTGCCTAACCCCAGAACAACATGAGCTACTCACCTCATGGCCTCATTAATATTTTTGTTCTCCTTGACTGATGTTTCTGTCCAACCCATGAAACCATTCTCTTTACTGAACCGGTCAACCTGGTCTCGGCTCACTGCCCAAGGGGACAGGTCACACTGGCAAAGAGAGTACATAAAAGGTAACACCATAAACTTCTGGAGAATAGGAACACTGCTCAGATACTTCTGGATGTAAAACCTTTCCACCAGTGGCTAAGAACACCGGCATCTAAAATCTGGCCAACATTCTTCCCAAAGAGAGCCCCAGCATCCCTTGAAAGAAGGTAGAGATGAGGTTTGCCAATTTGAGAAGGGAGAAATGGATGCCCGGAATCAGAGAGCGTTTTAGACATGCTTACTCTCTGACCACAGAGAGAGGCTAGGGCCCGTTTTCCTAGACTTGACCACATACTTTGTTGGCCAAGAGCAGGCAGGGCACAGGCTCTCCATTAGGCAGGGTGAGCTTGCTGTCCAAGTCCTGCTTCCACCTCTGGCTATTGCTGAAGGTCGTGGCGTTGGTAACATCAAACATAATAACGCAGGCTGATGCATCCCGATAGTACAGTCGAGTCATGGAGGTGAAGCGCTCCTGCCCTGGGAAGAAAGCAGGGAGCCCTTGAGAAAGTGATACTGAGAACCAGTATCATATCCCCCTCCGACACCTTGCCCTTTCCACCTTCCTCGTGGGGGAGGGCGGTATGCACTGTGGCTGAGTCCAGATTCTGCACCCAAACCACCCAAGTCCAAATCCCTGCTCTGTCATGTACTATCTGTAGGACTTTGGGCAACGGAAGCTTTCAGTGCTTCAGATTCCTCATCTGTAGAGCGGGGATGGAAGCAGTAGCTTTTCTCACAAGGTTGTGATGAAGCTTAGCGAGTCATTGAATCTCAAATGCTTAGGAAAGTGCTTGGCACATAGTAAAAGTCACCTGTTACTATTATTGTTTCTATTTTCTGGGGAATCTTCTTTCTACCCAAGGTCACCTGAAACGCTGGAAAAAGCACCCTCCCTCTGCTGTGAGAGCACCCACCCACGGTCTGGACAATCTATCACCCTGCCAGCCATTCCACCCAGGGACAAAGGGCTCTACATTTATCCAGGGCAAAACATCTACAGAAAATATCTACAAACTCTCTACATCCACTCAGCTTATGTGTCCTCTGAACAACTCCATCATTCCAGCTCCAGGAAAAAGCCTTCTGGTTTTGGTGCGCCTGGGTGGCTCAGTCGGTTAAGTGTCTGCTTTCGGCTCAGGTCATGATCCCAGGGTCCTGGGATGGAGCCCTGCATTGGGCTCCTTCCTCAGTGGGGAGCCTGCTTCTCTCTGCCCCTCCGCCCCTCTCCCCACTCTTGCTCTCGCGCTCAAATAAATAAATAAATAAAATCTTTAAAAAAAACCCAAAAAACTTCTGGTTTTGCTACCCCACTTTTTCTGAGAGCTTGCTGATTAAACCAAAATTTTTTCCCTGGTTCTTATCCCATCTTCCCAGCCTACCTGCAATATCCCACAGCTGGAGCCGCACCATCTCTGAGTCAGACCACTGGAGAACCTTCAGAGCAAAATCCACTGAAAATACATGTACAATTGAATAAAATTTACCTTTAAAAAATCCATGAATAAGCTCAGATCAAATATGCAGTTATAACCCTAGAGACACACAACTCCAATCCTATGTATCTATTTATTTTTAAACTCTCAGTGGGTTGAGATGAGCCCACACGCACGGTTTAAGTGTGGAACAGACAATTCTTTCTTTTTTAAAACATTTCTAATTTTATCATTATTATTATTATTGTTATTTTTTAAGTGAACTCTACCCCCAACGTGGGGCTTGAACTCACGACCCCAAGATCAAGATTCACATGGTCTTCTGACTGGGGCAGCCATGCCTCCAGGTGCCTCTGGCACAGATAATTCATTACCACTCTCTGAAGGGGTCTTCAGCTTTTACTCTCTGGACAAACTAATGTATTTGATACTATTAGTCCCTAAGGCTGGGGATAGGTGGGTGGGAGCAATTATAAAAACAACTCCTAATCTCAAGTTAAAGTTTCTGGAAGGTTCCAGGGGGTTTTCTAGGGGGAAGGGATGATAGGGCAAAAGGGGGAAATGAGGTAAGTGTGGTGGATTCTGCATCTTCCACATTCAATTTCACTGTTCGTTTCTAATCCAATTGTATTATGAGAAAAACACTGGGGGGAATTCTACACCCTCCACAAGGCTGTAGGGATTACTTTGGGTGGTAATAGATAGGGTCAAGGGAAGAGGTCCCAGAGGATTCCAAGGAAGAAGACACGGTATGGAGGGTGCTTGAGAGCTGTGTTCGAATCTGTAGAAGCTGAGACTCCAGGAGCTAAGTGAAAGAGTATGCCAGGGGGGAAACCTTTTGAGAAGGAGAAACAGAGTAACTTCCCAGATTTGGAAGTACATTTTCCACATCGGTGACAGAAATGAAAGCTAGGGGAAATTTAGAATAAACACTGAAAAAAAAAAAAAATTAGCCAGAGCCATTATTCTTTACTAAAGGAAAACTAGGGCAATTGCTAAAAACTCATTAGTGAAACACTTTTAACCAAACCCATGAAATAAGAGCTCTCATATTATTTAGGAGTGGAGGGCAGAATGGTGGAGAAATAGTCTTTCAAACTTCAAACCCTAAATGTTGCTGGATGTTCTCAAGAGGATGTTTTCATTGCAATGTTAATGCTTGTTAATTTTTTTAAAATTCCACAAGGATCACCAGCACCCATCTTCAAAATTTACATTAGTGCAGGTTTTTGTTTGTTTTTTTAAAGATTTTATTTATTTATCTGACAGAGAGAGACACAGCAAGAGAGGGAACACAAGCAGGGGGAGTGAGAGAGGGAGAAGCAGGCTTCCTGCGGAGCAGGGAGCCCGATGTGGGGCTCGATCCCAGGACCCTGGGATCATGACCGGAGCCGAAGGCAGACACTTAATGACTGAGCCACCCAGGCGCCCCTAGCGCAGGTTTTTTTTTTCCTTAAAAAAAGTTCTCTTAATGTTTGTTAACTCTCCCCCTTCACCAGCTCTTCCCAACTAAAGACCTTAACAAAAAGACATTTCTACTTCTGGGGAAAAAGAAAAAGGTTGAGCCCAAGGCCATCCCTAGAAAGAAATGAATGAACTTCTTGGTGTTCCCTTCCTTTTTCCCCTCCCCAGCTTGAGAGAAAGGTGGGTGGGAAGATAGGTCAGATTCCTTGAATAATTTCTAGCTGTCTTTATTTAAGCAATCCATGGACAAAAATGCACACCGCTCATCAGCCTCGGTGAGCATCAGATTGTGTGGTTCAGGGGCTCTCCCACTCAGGCATCCCCAAAACAAAGGTAGGATCCTTAAGGCAGACAGCACCTTTCTATTCCTTCATCAGCTACCTGTGAGAGGCAGGCCAAGAGCCCCAGCTGGCACCTAACCAGGCCTCCTCGAGGGGTCCCAGCGGCCTCGGCTGATCGCAGAGATTTGCGGGTGACCGCTAGGAAGGCTGCAGGAGACCTGAGTTCCCAATTCCCCCGAGAAATGCAACAATTGCGTATTTCCTCAACCTCCCTTCCCCATTCCTCCTCTTCACACCTTCGCCCAATCTCCTTCCAGGCGGTCAGCTCGGACTGGGTGAACCTAACTGGGGAAAACCCAAAAGAAACGTGCAGATCCAACACCCGGCAAGTCCTCCCTCCAAGATCCCAGACGCCTACTTCCTGACCCGAGGAACAAGGCCACGGAACCCCCGGCTCCCCAGCCGCGGGGGTCCACCCCGCCCTCGCGGCGACGTCTCACCTCCCACCGTGGACTTGTAGTGTTTGCTGAAGCTGTCCTGGGAGTATCGCTGCACGAGCGACGTCTTGCCCACCGCGGCGTCCCCCACCACCAGCACTTTGAACAGGTGATCGCGGCCGCCCATGGCTGGCCGGCCGGACTGGTGAAGGAGGCGGCGGGGTTGGGGGAAGGGAGGCGCTTGCTTTAACCCCTTCGGCTCCGGAGCCCCTACAAACTGAAGTTCGGCATTGCAGCCCACCGCCAAGGTTGGGGCTGCTCTGACGAGAAAGCAGAAAGGGAAACTTTGCACTCAACCTTTACGCGCTTCCTCCCCGCGCGGCCGCAGCCTGGGTGGGGCACAGGGCGCGAGCTCCGAGCCCCCGGCGTGTTCGCACCTTCTCCCCCGCCCCGCCCCGCCCCGCCCCGCCCCGCTGCCGAGAAACGGGACGGGACGCCGCGGGGCCTCGCCCACCGGGACTTCCCCGGAGCGGTGCCGGCGGGCGACTGAACCCGGGGCCAGCTCATTTCACAGTCGGGGTCAGATGATGGGGTCCTCCCCGCCCGGCACAAACCAAATTCGGGGGAAAGGGCGGCTCACACGTGGATTCCCGGGATACCGGACCGCCTATCCCCGTCCCTCCGCACGCGTCACGTGCGGGGCGGCTTGGGGCACTACATTTCCCAGCTTACCTCGCGGCGAAGAGACCTAGTGGAGTGCAGAAACTTGCCCGCGAGGCCTCCTGGGAAATGTAGTTTGTGAACTCCTTTAAAAAATCTGCGCAGAGTTCCAAGGCTTTCAAACTCCTTCTACGGCTCGAATCTTATTTTAAAGTAATTCTGGAATAGAAAGATCCTTTGGAGGCTCTTTGTTCCACATGATTTCACCTGCCTAAATCCTTCCCCAGATAGATTTCTCATTATCTTTAAAGGTTTTATGGAACTAAGATTAAAAATTATTCCATAGATTCCATAAATTATTCTACTAATAGAAGCTCAAGCCTCATCCTTCATGCTCCTAGCAAACTCCATTTGCTATTTCTTCAATTAGATAGACAAACCCAGGATCTTATGAATATGAGCGCTAGCCTTTTTATTTACCATATGACCCATTATCAGTCAGGTTCAGGGACACTCGATCAAGAGACTGACCCTTAGAAAAACTCCTGCCATTACATGTCAGTTATTATCATTTGGTAACTGGCCACAGTAGTACAGGTAGAAAACGAGAGACAGTTCCTCATTCTCACTTCCACTATTTGCAGTCTATCAACTGGAGTACACTGGGAGTCCTCCTCCATCTGTTGCTGGGGTTGCTCATAAATAATCATTAAAGTACCGCTTTGCAAATGACTTAAAATTTTCAGCCTATAACTTTTCTTTTCTTTTTTTTTTTTTAAAGGTTTTTATTTATTTATTTATTTGAGAGAGAGAGACAGAGAGAGAGCATGAGAGGGGGGAGGGTCAGAGGGAGAAGCAGACTCCCTGCCAAGCAGGGAGCCCGATGCGGGACTTGATCCCAGGACTCCAGGATCATGACCTGAGCCGAAGGCAGTCGCTTAACCAACTGAGCCACTCAGGCACCCCAGCCTATAACTTTTCTGACCTTAGTTAAAGAGTTAAGGGGACATGAGTTTCATGGCAAGCAAAATAGCTCTGTTTTCTGGGCTGTTGTCAGGAAGAGAAGAGAAAACAGCAAGCCCATGGGAAACACAGCTCTGCCCAGGTCTCTTTATGATACAGAGGCTATAACTTAGACCCTCCGAGGAAAGACAGTCAGCATGGGTCTCAAGGTATTTAGCCCAAAATGTTTGTTACCCAGGTATGGGAGGTCGGGCTGGCTACCATCTTCCCAGATGCGGGTGTTGCTCATAAATAATCATTAAACTACAGTTTTGCAAATGACTTAAATTTATTTTACTGTGGCAGGAAGATTTAACGTAAGACCTACTCTCTTAACAAATTTTTAAATGCCTAATGCAATTCAAAAAATACAAATGTTTAAGTGTGCAATAGAGGTACTGTGTCGTACAGCAGATTTCTAGAATGTACTCATCTTGCTTGGGCCCATTGATTAGTAACTCCCAATTCCTCGCTCCCCCATCTTTTGCCAACCACTATTCCACTCTTTGATTCTATAAATTTGTCTATTTTATTTTTTAAAAAGATTTTATTTATTTATTTGAGAGAGAGAGAGAGAGAGCACAGAGGGAAAGTGAGAGGCAGAAGGAGACTCCCCACTGAGCACAGAGCCCTATGCGCCGGATATAGCACTTGATCCCAGGACCCTTAGATCATGACCTGAGCCGAAGGCGGACACTTAAACAACTGAGCCACCCAGGTGCCCCATATTTTTATTATTTTTTTATAAAATGTATTTAGAGAGAGAGAGCTTGCACTCGTGTGCATGCACACGGGGGTGGGGGTGGGGGTGGGGGTTGGGCAGAGGTAGAGAGAGAATCTCAAGCAGACTCCCTGCTGAGCTCTCCGGGCTGAGATTTTTTTTTTTTTAAAGATTTTATTTATTTATTTGAGAGAGAGAATGAGATAGAGAGAGAGCATGAGAAGCGGGAGGGTCAGAAGGAGAAGCAGACTCCCTGCTGAGCAGGGAGCCCAATGCGGGACTCGATTCCAGGACTCCAGGATCATGACCTGAGCCGAAGGCAGTCGCTTAACCAACTGAGCCACCCAGGTGCCCCTCTCCGGGCTGAGATTGACTGGGGGTTCCATCCCATCACCTGAGATCATGACCTGAGCCAAAACCAAGTTGGACGCCCAGGCACCTCTAAATTTGTCTACTTCAGATATCATATAAGTGGAATCATGCAGTAGTTGTCTTTCTGTGATTTGGTCATTTCACTTAGCATAATGTCCTTAAGGTTCATTCATATGGTTGCTTACTGAAGAATTTCCATTTTTATAGAAGGCTGAATAATATTCCTCTGTAGGCATATACCCCTTTTCTTCATCTATTCGTCTGTCAATGGACATTTAGTTTGCTTCTATGTCTTGGTTATTTGTGAATCGAGTTGTAATGAACATGGTAGTGCTAATATCTCTTCGAGATCCTGATTTCAATTCTTTTGCATAATTACCCAGAAGTGGGATTGCTGGATCATATGATAGTTCTATTTTTAATTTTTTGAGGAGCTTCCATACCATTTTCCAGAGTGGCTGCACCATTTTGCATTCCCACCAACAGTGTGCAAGGGTTCCAATTTCTCCACATCCTTGTTGAGAGTTGCCTTTTTTTTTTTTATAATAGCCATCTTTTTTTTTTTTTAAAGATTTTATTTATTTATTTGAGAGAGAGAGAATGAGAGACAGAGAGCACGAGAGGGAAGAGGGTCAGAGGGAGAAGCAGACCCCCCGCTGAGCAGGGAGCCCGATGTGGGACTCGATCCCGGGACTCCAGGATCATGACCTGAGCCGAAGGCAGTCGCTTAACCAACTGAGCCACCCAGGCGCCCTATAATAGCCATCTTGACAGGTGTGAAATGGTATCACATTGTGGTTTTGATTTGTATTTCCCTGATGATGAGTGACATTGAACATTCTTTTATCTACCTGTTGGCCGCCTGCATGTCTTCTTTGGAGAAATGTCTGTTCAAATCCTTAGCCCATTTTTTAATCACATTATTAGATTTATTTTTGTTTTTTGCTATTGCAAGCCTCGAGCATTATGAACACTTCCTTTTACACACATCATTTTACAGCCCCCTCTTTTTTTTTTTTTTTAAAGATTTTATTTATTTATTTGACAGAGAGAGACACAGTGAGAGAGGGAACACAAGCTGGGGGAGTAGGAGAGGGAGAAGCAGGCTTCCCGCCGAGCAGGGAGCCCGACGTGGGGCTTGATCCCAGGACTCTGGGATCACGACACGAGCCGAAGGCAGCCGCCCAACCGACTGAGCCACCCAGACGCCCCTACAGCCCCCTCTTTTTAAAAAAGCCAGTCACCACATCTTCTGATTCTTCTTTCAAAAACATTTCTCACCCACACTTTCTGCTTCATATTCAGTGTCCCTTTCCTGGTTTAGGCTTTCATTATCTCACACCTGGATCATCTTCAATAACCTGTTTATTGGTCTCCCTGATTCGAGTTTCTTTTATCTTCAATTCATCCTACACACTGACCAGGATGATTGTTCCTGCAACTGTCTAGCAAGTATCCAAACACTCGGCAAACTCCCTGAGCTGATATCCAAAACCCTCTATGCACCGGCCCCACCCTCCCTAACCAACTCTATCTCACCTGATCTCAAATGTGAATTTCCCCCTTCAAAAAGGTCAGGTTCCTTCCGCTCTTAAAAAACCCAATTTCATTTCTGACTTTGCACCTTTCCTCAGGGTACCTTACCTATCAGAATACCCTCAGGCTTCTCTTCACATACCTCTCTTTCCTCACTTCAAGTTCTCAAACTTCTGTGTGCGCAAGAATCACCTGGGGCACTTGTTAAATATGGACATTCTGATCCAGGGGAATCTTTTTGTGTAGTACTAACGTGATTCCTAGACCAGATTCCACTTTGAGAAATGCTGTTAAGACCTGACTTAAGTGTCAACTCATCCATGAACATTTCCTTTATTACTGCAGCCCTCAAAACCTGTAGCATTTACAATCTGCTTGACTTGTAGGCACCTACATGACCAATTTATAAATATCGAACTTAGAAGCAACCAGCATGTTGCCTAGTAAACAAGGACTTCAAATAGAAAATTTTGGTTTTGGGCCCTGTTTTCTGTGAGAGGAACTTCCTGAAGTTTCCCAAATCAGAAATGTGAGGAGCAAAGATTTTGTTTATTTATTTTTGTATTTATGTATTTATTTATTTATTTGACACAGAGAGAGAGAAAGAGAGAGACAGATCCTTGCTGAGTTTTTCATAACATTGATTTTCTTTTTAAAGAATCCAGGCCATTGTCTTGCAGACAGTCTCACATAGTCTGGATTGTCTGTTTCTTCAAGGTTAGATTCTGGAAGAACATTTTTTGGCCAGAGCCCTACACAGAGGATATATTCCATCACTATGGAAGCAAGCAGATGCTTGCTGGTGATGCCTACGGTATGAATCAGTAAGTACTTAGGGAAGGAGTGACCCAGCACCAGCACTAGGGAGCTTGACTTCAAATAGAAGAGCAAAGGGTTGGGGCGCCTGGGTGTCTCAGTCAGTTAAGCGTCTGCCTTCGGCTCAGGTCATGATCCCAGGGTCCTGGGATCGAGCCCTGCATCTGGGTCCTTGCTCTTTGGGGAGCTTGCTTCTCCCTCTCCCTCTGCTGCTCCCCCTGCTTGTGCTCTCTCTCTCTCTCTGACAAACAAATAAATAAAATCTAAAAAAAAAAAAAAAAAAGAAGAGCAAAGGGTTTATGTGGTCTCCAGAGCCTCCACCACTGTGCCAGGATAGAGAGGAGGAATGCTTTGTGACATGAAATGCAGACTGAAGTGACATAGCAAGTGGCCCAGCCGCATAGAGAGAGGGGAGGAGAGGGACAGGCCCAGGGAAGGGTGAGGCCGTGGGGCTTTGGCTGTCTGTCAGCCCCAAATTCCATGCTCCTTTAAATAATCATAACTTTGGGGGCACCTGGGTGGCTCAGT